GCCTTTGATTTCACATATTCTCTCGCGCGAAATTTCTCACTTTTCTCGAATTTCTTTCCTCATTTCCCCCATTCCTTCTTCAACCGCCATGGCTTCAATCTTTCGAGCTTTCTCAAACCCTAACCCTAACCCTAATGCTGAAACCAAACCGAAGGAAAAGACGATCGACCTCGGCAACGGCAGCGAAGTCATCTACGTCCCTCGATTCGTGCCCTCGGATCAAGCGTGGGGGTGGTTCGAGTATCTCGACAAAGAGATTCCTTGGACTCGGCCTCTGATTCACGTTTTTGGGAGAACTTGCCTTCAGGTTTGCCTAAATTTGATTTCTTGGCTAGAAATTTGAGCTCAATTTTGATCAATTTTTGCTTATATTGCCCCTTTCAAGATATGTGTCCTAAAAGTTTCAAGTTTTCGTTTTCTACATTTCAGCGTTGTAATTATGATTTATTTATTCAGGATTTTAGTTGTTTGCATCAATTATGAGCAGTAAGATCACTGCTTGTTCATGTTAGGGTACAAACCAATAATAACACCTCGAACGGACACGTATTACACAAAATAAAGGCACAAAAATCAATCACCGTACTCACAGATATATGTGGTTCACTCCTTCGGAACTATCCCAAAAGAATAGATCAAAGAGAACACCATCTCTTGATCAGATACACTCCAAGAACTCTCACAATCTCTCTCTGAAAGAATAGATCAAAGAGAACACCATCTCTTGATCAGATACACTCCAAGAACTCTCACAATCTCTCTCTGTGTTTTCTCTCTTATTCTTCTATGACAAGAACTCTCACAATCTCTCTCTGTGTTTTCTCTCTTATTCTTCTATGAGAGGAGTTGTTTCTGGGATAAGTTTTTCTTAAGAGTTTAGGGCCCTATTTATAGTGTTTGTGAAACACTATGTACTAATAAAATATTATTAGTGGGATCCGTCACTAATAATAATTAACTAGTGGGATCCGTATTATTTTTTTAAATTTCAAATAAAATGACCACCGAACTTTGATTTTCAAAGTTTGTATGCTAACAATCTCTCACTTGAAGATTTGATTGAGTATCAATCACATCTTCACATCATTCTTGGTTGCATCATCCAGATGTCTTGTATCTTTGGCGTCTTGCAGGACCCTCTTTTCCCAGATATTGCTGATAGTGAGGACGATAGTGAAATACCTATCAACATAGAAGACAGAGACCAAGAGAATGTGTCGAATGTACAACAGTAGGATCCAGCAGAGTTGCCGATCGCAATTCGCAAAGCTCCAAGAAATCCAAGGATGTCAGAGAGATACCTTTCCATTATGAATTATCTTCTCCTGACTGACAATAGTGAGCCAGAAAGTTATGAGGAGGTACAGCAGACCGGCAAAGCTCGGGGCGAGTGGGAGTCTACCATGGAGAAAGAAATAAAGTCCTTGATGAAGAATGAGACTTGGGAGCTCGTAAAGCTTCCAAGAGGGAGAAAGACTCTTCACAATCGGTGGATTTATCGGGTCAAGGATGAAGCTGATGGACGTAGACGCTACAAGGCGAGGCTTGTAGTGAAGCGCTATGAGTAGAAAGCAGAGATAGACTATTCTGACGTTTTCGCTCCCGTCGTCAAGTTAACCACGATCCGGACTGTGCTGAGCATTGTGACAGTTCGAGATCTCCATCTAGAACAGATGGATGTGAAGACGACATTCCTTCATGGAAATTTGAAGGAAGAGATCTATATGCATCAACCAGTAGGCTTCGAGGAACGAGACAGGGAGGGCCTCGTGTGTCGCATGCGCAAGAGCTTGTATGGCCTGAAGCAAGCTCCGCAACAGTGGTACATGAAGTTCGAGAACTTTATGGAGGAAAACGGTTTTCTTAAATGCACACAGACCATTGCTGCTTCATCAAGAGATACGGCGAATCCTATGTGATACACTTGATTTATGTTGATGACATGTTTATTGCAGGGCCCGACTTGGCCCGTATTGAGGAACTCAAGGGGCGTCTCTCCGAGTGCTTCGAGATGAAGGATCTGGGTCCAGTAAACCAGATTCTTGGGATGAGGATTATCAGAGAGAGATCAACACGGATGCTGAGGTTGTCTCAGAAAGCCTACATTGAGAATATTCTTAAAAAATTCGGTATGGAGAAAGCTAAACCGGTAGGTTCACCATTTGCAAATCATTTCAAGCTATCGAAGACCCAAGCAACAGAGACTGCTGAAGAGCATGAGTTCATGACCAACATACCATACGCATCTGTCGTCGGGAGTTTGATGTATGCGATGGTGTGCACGAGGTCAGATATTACACAAGGAGTGAGAGTTGTGAGCCGCTTCATGAGCAATCCGGGAAAACGACACTGGGGTGCAGTCAAGTGGCTTCTACGCTACTTGAGATGCTCGTCCGACTGTTGTCTTGAGTATGACGGAACAGATTTGCAGCTAGAGGATTTTTGTGATGCAGACTACGTAGGGGACATAGACTCAAGAAGGAGCACGGGCGGTTACATCATCTTGGATGGTGGAGCGATAAATTAGAGATCCAAGTTACAAGGTATTGTGGTTTTGTCGATAACCGAAGCCGAGTACGTGTCTGCAGCAGATGCAGCAAATGAGTTGCTATAGTTGAAGGCTTTTCTTGATTGTTAGCCTACCAACTTTAAAAATCAAAGTTCGGTGGTCATTTTGTTTGAAATTTAAAAAAATGATACGGGTCTCACTAGTTAATTATTATTAGTGGCGGGTCCCACTAATAATATTTTATTAGTGCACAGTGTTTCCCAAACACTATAAATAGGACCCTAAACTCTTAAGAAAAACTTATCCCAGAAATAACTCCTCTCATAGAAGAGTAAGAGAAAACACAGAGAGAGATTGTGAGAGTTCTTGGAGTGTATCTGATCAAGAGAAGGTGTTCTCTTTGATCTATTCTTTTGGGATATAAAAGAATTTAGCGTTGTCGTTGCACCGTGGAGTAGTTCCGAAGGAGTGAACCATATATATCTGTGAGTACTGTGATTGATTTTTGTGCCTTTATTTTGTGTATTACGTCTCCGTTCGAGATGTTATTATTGGTGTGTACCCTAACAACTGGTATCAGAGCCTGATTTAGAGTATATATATCTGCTTATCGTATGCTCTGTGGCTGCCATTAAAAGTGGATCCTCCACATTAGAAAATAAGTTAGATTATTATTTACTCTTTTAAGGCGTTATTGTTGGTGTGTACCCTAACAGTTCAAACAAATTTTATGTGTGCTCGAGCTGGAAAGATTTATTTTCCAGTGAACTGAAAGAAACTTGTTTTCTATTTTTATTCCTTGTTCTTTTATATAGGATAATTTACATAAAATCCCCCTAATGCCTAAGGTTTAAAAAGTGACATTTTTGCCCCTCTTCTAATTCCCACAACATTAACTTCGATGCAAAAGCTAATGTCACCATTATCTGCAGTCCCACATGAATATATATGATTATTACATTGAAAATTAATGATTACATCAAATAAATAGGTGATTATTTGACTAGAAACAGGAAATGATGGTATAAAGTGTCACTTTTAAAACTTAAGGGAATATTTTGCCAGTTGTGCAAGCCTCAGGGGGATTTTCTGTAATGTACCCTATTATATATCATCTTGACCTTTCTCAAGATATTCCATCTCAAAAGGATTGAGAATTGGGTTCTATAAAGCCAACTCCATATATATTGGATTGTACATATTCATCCTGTTTATCCATCAATTTACTTTTATTATATCCTTAAGGGTGGCGAGATCAACTTCTAGATACAAATCTCTCTCTGCAGCCGAGAGATACATGCTATGTTGCTAGTGAAGGGCTATCAGAATTAAAATACAGCGGGTATCAACCTCAGGCTTATTCTTGGGATGATTACCCTGTGCTTAAAGACATATTGGCAATGGTAAGACGGTCAATTTGCATAAATTTTTTTTTGATAAGGTGACGTTCCTCTACCATACATCATTCATCGCCATTCTAGTTGGGTAATGTTATTATTTTCATGTTTTAACCGCTGTTAGGTTCATGAAGCAGTTTCAGGAAGTAAATTTAATAGCTTGCTCTTGAACCGGTACAAGAACGGTGCAGACTATGTTGCTTGGCATTCTGATGATGAGAAATTATATGGGCTGACTCCTGAAATTGCATCATTGTCTTTTGGATGCGAGCGAGAATTCCAGCTGAGGAGGAAACCCATCAAAACCCAACAAGGTATGTATCAAAATGAAAACCGTTGGTATTATATTAGCTTCTGTATCCTACAGTTAGCACATTGGGAAATGTTTAGCTTCTGTTGCGATTGCAGGTAATAAAGGTCCAGAACAACCAGCAGTGAAGCGACCAAAAAGCAGCCACCAAGATCAGCATTCATTCAGTCTGAAACATGGCTCTTTGTTGGTGATGAAAGGCTATACTCAGCGAGATTGGGTACATTCGGTACCTAAACGAGCAAAAGCAAGTACTGGTCGGATTAATCTCACCTTCAGGCATGTAATGACAGAAAACCCACAAGATAACGAATAAGGTATGTAGTAATTTGTTTCTTTCTGCTTCAAATAGTTTCTGAGGTACATATATTTGAGTTGTACAGAAATTAGGTATGCTCATATCATTTTCCCCAATCAATCTAGTGTCCTGATGAATATATCATATAAATATATGAAATAGATGAAATCACTAAGTCTGGATTGACAGAGCAAGAGGGAGGGAGGGAGGACCAAAGATTTACATATAGTATTGGCATGTCTTTTAACAAGATGAAAGAATATTTTTCATTCTCTTCTGCTATGATAAAACAAGATTAAAAAACATTCTCAATTTTCTTCTGCTATGAATATGATTAAGCAGATATTGTTAATTATTTTACATCATCCATATCTGATTGAATACCAGAAAACAGACCCAAGATCACCTCTTTGAAATATGATAAAGATTAGGTACCAATAAATATGCGATGAGGCCATAAATCCCATAGCTTGATGCAAAAAAGAAAATATGACTTCTTGTACGTTGATATCTTCTCTGTTTCCCAATGGCACACAAATTTATCTTAGAACCTCATTGTATATTAATGAGTTCACTCCCTTCTCTGAAGACTCAGTTGATTTCAGGTTGTAGAACTCTCTTGGCAAAAGATGGCAGGCAAAAGGCAGCAGAATGAATCTGAAAATAAAAATAAACGTTAACACATAATCAAAGAAAGAAAGAAAATGTAGAATACACAACTCATAGAGAAGACATAAAAGAAATGTGACAAATATTGCTATAACATGCACCTCTGAGTTGTAGAATCTTGGAGGGCCTTTAGAATTGCCGAAATTTTCAGTGTTCTCTTCAATGTTATATACAGGACGCTGAAAGTCCACAAAAGGTCCCTCAGTAGAGCAAAGCATGAAGCCCATCACTCCGCTGCATTAATCATCTAGTGGTATCAAGATAAAATGTTCCCTATTCCTAATTTGATGAAAAGATATTTTGTTTTTCCTACCTGAAAGAAAGGAAGAAAATGTGAAGATAATTTACCTTGGATATGTAGGTACGGTGGTCCATGCATAGTTGATAGAGCCTTTGAATATTTGACGACACACGTTGACAATATCCTCAATTATGTGCATGTGGAGCCATATGCTCTCAGCCTGAGTGCAAACAACTCCCCCAGGTCGGAGAGCTCGTCCAACTGATTCAAAGAAGGGTTTTTTGAAAAGTTCTTGAGCTGGACCTGACAGCAAAACAATGTTGGTATACAATTATCAGCAGCAGTAACACTATCAATACGTAAAAGTTTTCAGAGAGAAGCAACGTGCAGTATGAAAAATAACTTAAATGGTCACAGAAAAGAAGTCAAAAATTACCTATCGGGTCTGAGGAGTCCACGATAATTGCGTCATAAGTGCCTTCTGTGACACTTTTCAGGAATGCAGTGCCTACAAGTAGATTAAATGAATTTAGTGAAATGGCTTGGAAACCTCAATACTCCTGAGTTATGAACACCTGAAGATTTCCCATTTATTTGAGTCTGAACAATGGTGTGAAAATTTTTGCAAGAATAGCAAAGGTCTAACTGAGTAGTATTCCTACCCATGATGGATGTAATAAATAAATATCAGTTAGCTTACAGTATATAGACCAAACTTCACAAAATGAAAATAAATAATTAGTCCTTGCCCTTTTAGTTTCCTTTTACGGATCTCAAAACAAATGGTTGTGACAAGTTGAGAATATCCGTCTAATTTCGGTCTAACTGTGAGAGGATTTATGAAATTCAAATGTGATTCTATACTTACCATCACCAATATGCAGGTTAACCCGAGGATCCTCAAAGCCAATAGCTAAAGCAGGAAAGAACTGCTTAGAAACCTGGGGAAGGGGAAGAAAACAACCAGTGGAGACCTGTCAATGTTGGAAATGTTGTGTAATAGCCGTTAACAAATGCTAGATGGTTGCACTTGAAACTTAGAACCTTTCCATTCAAAAGAAGTTCAATTTTCAGAAGTCACGCATCAGTTGTTGTGACAATACTTTGACTGCATGTGCCTTTTCAGAAACACCTTATGCAAAAATCTGAAAATAGCAGTTGTTACCCTACTCTATTCAATAGCATGATCATCATACAAGATTAGAACCTTGGGTAATTGTATAGAAGAAATAAAATGTTTTAGCTGTAAAAAGATTATGTATATTCCCATGGCATAGTGAATCTTTTTTTTTTCAGTTTCTGACAAAGAAGAGAACGGAAAGATGCAAGGATGGGGATTTGGGATTGGTGCTGAGTTTTCTCGATGTAACATCTGCAGCTCACCAGTTTACGTCAAGCTGTAGGATCAAGGTCATCATTTCCCTTATGCTTCTCAAAGTTTATCTTTTCTTGTTTGTAGATAAGCTCAATGAAGTGTAATATGACTAGAAACCGCGGGTCTATATATTTGTGATCATGAATATCTGAATGACATTAAAAGTGAATTAGTGTGTATAATTAGAAATCATTTTGCCAAGGATGCTTTCTTGCATGTCATATTAAATAACAAACTAATACTAGAATATCCATACACATTGTTTGATTTAAATACTAGAATATCCATACACATTGTTTGATTTAAATATTTGCAAAGTCTTCGTATCACCATACAGCCTTCAATTTCAATTCTACTAAAAGAACTTTAGAATTACAATAAGACAAACTTTTCTTAAGCTAGGTAATGTGCATGTATCTAATATGAGAATGACTTAGAGAACAATAAGGTCAAGAAAGAATAACTACATATGTCAATGGAAACATCAGGAATGGAATTCTTTTGAATGTACTTTCGAAATCATTAAACTAATATTTATATATATAATTGGTTAAATGTTTTAATAATTCATTACCGCTGAGCTTGCAGGTATTATTAATTTATTATGGCATAGGGCTTAGGCAGGACGAGAATCACTGAATCATCTCTACTAGCTGTAGTTTTAAAAGCAAGTTGCGCATATCTAAATTTTGCAAACGACATAAGAATACTTGCCTGATACTGGTTTCTGTCTTCGGTACAAGTATTGACAGTCTGAAGATTTATAGGGAAGAATAATTTCAAAATCCAATGAGGAAATTTGTTGATTAAGAAATTAAAACTAAAACAAAATATTTGAGGAAATCTAGAAAAAAATGACTTCAGATACTAAAAGAAAATAATGCATTCTCGGAGTCCTACAAAAATTAAATGGATTATAAGTTGATATGTTATAATAATAGCATGAATGTTCATAAAATAAAAAAAAGTAATAATAGCATGAAAGACAAAATGGAGATAGAACAGTTTCAATTTACTCACATCTACAACCATTTTATCAATTTCACAGATATCAATTTGTTCCATGGAAGGATAACGTGACACCTCACGCAAAACACCACCATCCCCTCCACCAATAACTAACACCTGAAAAGAAATTGATGAATCAATCAAAATTATGTCAAAATTATTCTTCAGAATTAAATTATCATGACAATTTATTAGACTGAGAAGAAGTTCCTCACAGGACAGATGCAATTTACTAAAAGGACTTCCTTAATGAGTGTTACAAAGGAAATGTTATTTGGATAAGGCAGAATGTTAAGATTTACCAAACTAGAACACGATAGAAAACCCGAATTACTCATAAGAAAGACTGATGCTAAGCAAAATGTGGATTATAAGATGGAAAACCATAGAACATTTCATTCAAACAAATCAAATAGCATGTACTGCATGAATGAAACTTTAGACTGAATGAGGCAATATAATGTGGTATACAACCTTTCGAGGATTTTGGATCGAGCAAAGGGGAAGGTGAGAAATCATTTCTTGGTATGCACATTCATCTCTCTCTGTAAGCTGAATAACTCCATCCAGGACAAGCACCTTGCCATAAGTTGAAGACTGAAACCAAATGAACATGTTAATAACATGTGAAAGCAGACAAAAGGAAATATTGGTGATTTGTGGGTAACTAAAATACCTGAAATACAAGCACACTCTGGTACTCAGATTTTTCTTGATAAAGTACCTTCTCTATCTTTAAGGAGTGTGCCTCTCCTATAATTTGTCAAAAACAAAGTAAACTTTTATATACCACACTGACCCACTGCGGGCATATGGCTCCCACGATTTTGGGTTTGATTACGAACTCGATTATTATAAAAAAAAACCACACTGTAAAGCATTACCCTTAAACTAATATATTGTACTGAAACTTGAAGCTAAGTACTTCATTTTAACATAGGCTGATGCATATTTTTAGCAAATAACATTATCCAACTGCACATACAAACATGATCTACAGAAAATTAAATAAAAGGGAAAAAACCATGAAAATTTATGCATATACCAGGCCACATGGGGCTCATCTCAGAAAACCATCCAGGGATAACAGAGGGAATACTCTCCATCTCCTTGCTATTCTCTTCCTCCT